TTGCCATTACTTTTCTGTGTGTTTTGTCACTGAGTCAGAGGCAGATGGTGGCTTCATTATACCTTAATTTGTTTTTGTTTGCTTGGGTTAGTGGGTTTTGTTTGTTTGTTTGTTTGTTTGTTTTTTGACCTTTTGAGACAAGGTCTCTCTATGCAGTTCAGACTGGCCTTGAGCTCACTTTGCAGCCCAGGCTGGTCTCAAATTTACCACAATCCTCCTGCCTCAGCCTCCAGAGGGCTGGGATTACAGGCATGAGCCACCCCGCCCAGCTTGTTATACCTTAATTTGGTTGTTTGTTTGTTTATTTGTAAGTTTGTTTTGAGACGGGTCTCAACATGTAGTTCAGGGTGGCCTTAAATGCACTATGTAGCCCACACTGGCCTCAGACTTGCAGTGATCCTCCTGCTTCAGCCTCCCTAGTGCTGTTTATCTTGCTCTTGAAGAATAGCTGTCTACCTGCCATTCAACCTGCCATAGATCTTCTTCAGTTATGGTTTCTCTACAATTAGAGGCTGCATCAGTGTCAAAGCATAGCATTTCAAACTCCTTTGAAGTCTGTCATCCCAGCACCATGGGAGGCTGAGGCAGAAGAATCGAAAGTTTGAACCCAGCCTACCTAACTTAGTTGTTTACAAAGGGGCAAGAATGTAGCTGAGTGTGAAGGCCCCATATTCAACCCCCAGTACTTAAGAAAAAAAAAAAAATATTTGAGAATATTAATTATTTTGAGGTTTTATATATGTGTATAATACTAAAATATAGAATGAATTTAGTAGTTGTAAGGATATAGAAACATTTAATCCAATTACTTGGCACTGAGTCAACTTTTTAAAATGAAATATTGTAGTTGAGAGAGCATTCCTTGTTGGGCGCGGTGGCACACACCTATAATCCCAGCAGTCGGGAGGCTGAGGCAGGAGGATCTTTTCAAGTTGGAGACCAGCCTGGCCTACAAAGTGAGCCCAAGGCCAGCCTGAACTGCATAGCGAGTCCCTGTCTCAAAAAGACGAAAAAAAAAAGAGAGAGAGAGTGCATCTGTACAAACACCACCCTCTCTGCTGTGACAGACTTGGTATCATTGATTGGTGGAGGTGTTTCCTTTCTAGCTAGACTGGCTTCTTCGGTCAGATTGGGTGATGACCTTGAGTCACACTCAAGTGAAGAGCAAATTATTTGCTTAAACTATCCAGAGAATATCTGCAATTGATCTTTTTTTTTTTTTTTTGGTACCGGAAATCAAACTCAGGACCTTGCGCTTGCTAGGCAGGCCTTGTGCCGCTGAGCTGTATTCCCGCCCCTAAAGTTGATCCATCTTTTTAAAGCAAGATGAATTGCATTATTTTGCATGAAGTGTCCTGATAGTCTTATCTAATCAGCTAAATTGTTAATGCCGATTGCATGTCTGCCTGGAGAAGCTCAGGACGGAAGTGGTTTTATAGAAGCCTGGAGGCCAGGTGTGGTTGCCTACACCTTTAATCCGAGCACTCGGGAGGCTGAGGCAGGGGCACTGCTGCAAATTTGAAGCCAGCCAGGACTACATAGTGAGTTCAAGGCCAGTCTGAGTTACATAAGGAGACTCTCAAAAGAAGCAAACAAAAGAAGACAGAAAGCTAGTTTCTGTGCCTGTGAGCAGGGCACAGTGTTCCCATTCCCTGCGCGGGGCTGGCACAGGTGCATAACACAGCCCGTTCCTTCCTTCTGTCCTTCCGTCCTTCCGTCCTTCCGTCCTTCCGTCCTTCCGTCCTTCCTCCGCCCTCCACCTCGTGATCGGCCCCTCCCCTTGAGAAACGTCCGCATGTAGGAACAAAGGGAGGGGACCAAGGGTTGGGGAGGGCGGAGGGTTGGAAAAGGCACTGAAGTGTGCTGGTAGGTGCGCCACCGCCACCCACGGAACGTAAACGTTCTGTAGCAGTACCCTCACGTTAGGAGAAAAGCCCGGTTCCGCTGCTGGCCCGCCGCCGCTGGAGAGCCCGTTTCTTACTTAAGAAAGGTGGGCGGCAGGGAGTCTCGGGAGTGAGGGTTTCGGGCTTCACCGGCTGAAGAGCGCCCCTGCTTCAGAGGGTCTTGAGGTTTCGTGAACTTGTCTGGAAGCTTTCGTCCGCTAACATGTCTAGAGACACTCGTGGAACAGGTCGTGTCGGGCAGTATTGTCACCCATTTGTGTCATCTTTGTTTTAACAGTTCTGTAAACCGGCTTAGAGCAGCACCTTTCAGAACCTTAGAAGGCACAAAAAGTGTAACTGAATTTAAACGTTGCAAACGCTGTTTACTCTTCCTTCGATGACCCAGAACACATTTCAGGACCTTGCCGATTTTCAGGATTATTATTTTGAAAGGAATTTTCTTCATCAGTGCTCTATAGGAGAGGCTGCTTTGTATCTACACAGAACTGATGGTACAGCTCCTACATAGGTAATATATACTATCTGTACTAGTAAATATGACAGGTAGAAAGTAATTCGACTTTATATTTCAGGAAATTTAAATATGACAACAAAAGATATATGGGCCGGGGATATAGTTCAGCGGTACAAGCGCCTGCCTGGCAAGCTCAAAGTCCTGAGTTGGATTCCCGGTACCAAAAAAAAAAAAAAAAAAAAAAGATATAATGTAACAATGACCAACTCACAGATACCCAGAAAAAACTGTTGTAAAACTGCATTAATTTAGAATTTTCTGAGGTTTAGACTATTTTAGTTTTTTTTGTTTTTTTTGTTTTTTTTTTTTTTCAGACAGGGTCACTATGCAGTTCAGGCTGGCCTTGAGCTCACTTTGTAGCCCAGGCTGGTCTCAAACTTGCAAAGATCCTCCTGCCTCAGCCTCCCAAGTGCTGCGATTACAGGCATGCACCATCACGCCCAGCTGGTTTGTTCTTAAGAACAAAGTTCAAAATAATTTCTTCCACTATGAATTAGATTTTATTCCTAAATAAAACCTTATCTAGCCAACACTGCAGCACATGCCTGCAATCCTACCAAGGGGAAAAAAAAAATCCTACCAAGGGGGCTGAAGCAGGAGGATCACTAGGAGGTTGAGGCCAGCCTGGGCTACACAGTAAGTCTCAGACCAGTCAGAGTACATAGCAAGACTCTGTCTCAAAACTACAAATAAAAATCTATGAAATAAAAATGAAAAACTTTTTCAAACATAGAACCTTAGGAATTATATCTAATTATAATTTACTTACCATTTATAATTATTTAAAAACCTGTGCAGTTACTCATTCTTATTTAAAATGTTTTACAGATATGTTATATCATTACATAATGTACCCTATTATTAATAGTAATGGTATCAGGCTGAGCATGGTGCCGCACACATAATAGCAGCATTCGGGAGGCTTTTTTTTTCTCTCTCTCTTTTTTTCCTTTTTTTTTTTTTTGAGACAGGGTCTCGCTATGTAGTTCAGGTTGGCCTTGAGCTCACTTTGTAGCCCAGGCTGGTCTCGAACTCACAACGATCCTCCTGCCTCAGCCTCCTGAGTGCGGGGATTACAGGCATGTGCCACCATGCCCAGCTCATCCCCAATTATTTCTAATAAAGCCTGTTTACATCTCCTTTTTTTCAGGTCCATGTTGCCATATGTACTATAAACTCTCTAGAAAGTTTAATTGTGTATATTTATGCCATAACTTCCAGTCAATCAAAATGTTAACCACCTCGTGTTCCAGAGTGTGGAAAGTGCAGTTACTAAGTGTGAATGTATGCTTCTGGCGTGAGAGTCTTCTTAGTAGTCAAAGGGATCACTAAGTAAGCGGGTCCTCTTCTCTTCCTGAAGGTGTCCATTTTTGCCTCTTGTTGAAAGTATCCAATTACAGTAAGCAGCGAAAGATAGAATGTTCTTTGTATGATTGTTAGGATTATTTATTCGGATGTTTTTAAGGTTCCCAAGATCTCCTCTTACTCCTGCCTTGATCTTAGGGGAGACCGAAGTTGGAGAGTCATTAACCCTGTCTGTCCCCATAAGAAATATAAATTTGGGATTACAGAAATTCCACCCCCAATAAAAAGAAGAAAACACTGCCCAATCACTTGCAGATGTCCTCTAAGCCAGACTTCATCACAGATAACTCCAGAACTACCGTGTGCCAAGTAGAAAGTATGACATTAGCTTACTCTGTAGTCAAAACAAGCCCGGGTCCAGCCCGCCGCGGACAAGCCCGCCGCAGGCCGCACGCTGTCCTGCGGTTCCGCCCAGGCATCTGGGGTCGCTTCCCTGGGTTAGCTGACCGTGCCTCCTTAGCAGGAGAGTCACCAGATTAGGTCATTTGCAAGAAGCCCACAAAATTAATAGTGCCAGACACGGGCATGAAGTCCTGGGACAGAGTAGCGGGCAGGTTTTTATAGTACCGTTGTGATTTTCTGTAGAAAAGCACCAAAGACTCATTATTTATATTTTTTAAATTTATAGCTCTTTAGCTATGCCCAAGATTTCACTGCCATGAGTGCAGTCAAGCTTGAAGCTTTATTAAAGACCGTGATCCAATCCACACAAGCACTCCTTTAGCGCATAGTTTCTGCTCAGTCATTTGCATTGGCCAAAAAGACACTACGGCCATCTATGATCACACCAGAACTGTGAGCTACCCAGGTGTAACTCTCACAAGTCATGTAGAGTGTCTGTGTGCTGAAAATTACAGAGCACCCGAGCATGGTGACACATGCCTGTAATCCCAGCACCCTGGGAGGCTGAGGCAGGAGGATCGTTGCAAGTTTGAGACCAGCCGGGGCTACAAAGTAAGCCCAAGGCAAGCCTGAACCGCATAGCGAGACCCTGTCTCAAAAAGACAGAAAGAAAAAGAAAATTACAGAGCAATACTGCTTGCATGTGACTTCGTATGTTGGTTTCCAAGTGTTCCAGTGGAGGATACGGAGTTCTTGTCGTGTCTCTCTGAATGGTGGCTGTGGAAGGAGCATCCAACTTTACCTCGTTGAGCTTGTCCTCTGCACTGAGCATAGCAGAGAGAAGTCAGTCTGCCTTTCTTTGGCTCTCGTTGCAGAAAGTGAAGTCACCGCTTTTCCTGTCTTGGATCAGGACCAGAAGGGAATTGTTGACACCAACGGAGCTGGAGATGCATTTGTTGGAGGTACAGACACACTTCTTTCACATTTACTTAGAAGTTCAACGTTTTAACCCTTGTCTCTGCAGCACAGCCAAGATTTATTAACTTAATAACTTCGAATTTCTTCTTTTAAATAATTAACTCCTAACGTTCTTTCCATCTGCCACTACCATTGTGAGTATTGAGGGGATTGTACTGCAGGACAAATGTGTCTTTGGCAATGATGATTTGCTGTTATGCCACACCCCAGTCATTTTCACAAGATTAATTGTGTCTGTCAGAATACCGCGTAAGCGCGCTGCATCACGTACAGTAGATGGTACGTTCGGAGCCCTTTGGGCCGAGATGTGAACCCATCCTTGTTCTTTAAAACAAATCGCGCTGAATGCTAACCAGCACACTAACGGCCAAGGCGGATGTCTTCCATCCTTTGGTTACACATGTTTCCAACACAGCGGTGGGTGTTTATCCCTAAAAAGGGTTGAAGTTTGGCCTAATTTAGACTCAGGACAAACTAGCCAGTTTGATAAGGACTAGATCATTGTACGAATGAGTACTCAAAAGTAAGATCATGACAGAAGATTTTTAGCTTGCGGACTGAGACTGATCTGAAATCCTATTCAGAGGGTTTTTGATGAGTCTAACTTCCTTGTACTTAAAGTGTGGTTAAGCTAGGTTAGCTTTCCCTGGAAAGCGCTCGGTTCCTCAGAGACAGCCCGAGGGTCTCCCCATCTCTGTTTCTCTCTCATCGCGACGAGCAAGGTAGAAAAAAAGGCACATAGAGCCAGCCACTGCTCCCTTCCTGCAGGATGCTGTGACTCATGCGAATCTTACTTTTGTTTGTATGTTAATTTTAATATTTTTAACAGTCTTTTATTTTAACGATCTTTGCACCAAAATAAAATTGTCTTTTTTTTTCCTGTAACCACTCAGGCCCCATTTTTTGAGGGGGTGGGTGGTTTCCAGCACTGGGAATCGAACTTACGACCTTGTGCTTGCCAGGCAGGCGCTGTGCCGCTGAGCTAAATCCCCAGCCCCTCATACCCCATTTTAAATGAACTGTAGCACACAGGACACCCCATGCCCTGTATTCTCTGGGAAGAGTACATGCAAAAGACAGCATTCGGTTTCACTATCAAGCTTGCATTTTTAATTTCTTTCCTCTGAACTATATCATAGGTACTTTTAGAATATTTTGCTGCTAATTTTCCTATTCCATGCTTTTCAGACCTATAAATCTAAAAATATTGTACTCCTGCTGGGTGTGATGGTACACACCTGTAATCCCAACACTCGGGAGGCTGAGGCCGGAGGATCGCTGAAAGTTTGAGGCCAGCCTGGGCTACAAAGTGAATTCGAGGCTAGCCTGAACTGCAGAGTAAAACTCTGTCTCAAAAACACTATATAAATAGATAGATAGATAGATAGATAGATAGATAGATAGATAGAGATAGAGATATATACGTATGTGTGTATATGTGCATATACATATATCTGCATATATTTTTTATTCACAATTAAGCCATATTATACAATACATTAAGGATGATAGTGGTTTCCTCCCTTACCCCCTCCCCTGGTCCTGCAGATTGAACCAAGGGCTTTACCACTGAGACAAGGGCTCCACCACTGAGCTACGTCTCTAGCCCTTTTTCTATCTTTTAAGACAGCATCTCTAAACTGCCCAAGCTGGTCTGGATCCTTCTGCCTCAGCCTCTCCCATCGCTGGGATTACAGATACAGGCCGATGCACCAGGCAAGGAAACAGGAGCAATTTCCTGGTTGAAAATTGATTAAACCAAGAATCATAGTTCAAAACCTTAGGCACCTGTACCCTGTGTGTGCATCACTCAAGTACGTTAGGATCTTTGAAATAAATATTCTATTTCATTAACAATCCGTAGGACTCAAAGGCCGTCGTAGAGACGATGGTGACCCGGGGCACCACCCCGTCTGGTCCAAGGGCTCTGGGCCTCCCGGCCCTGCAGTGATGCTGCCTCACTGCCCGTAACGCCGCCAGGGCTGCGCGCAGACGCTGAGGACCAAAGAGGCTCTCTCAGGGCACTGGGGCAGCACAGGGCGCGCTCGCTCCCAGCCGTACTGCGGCTGCAGAGATCAGTGACTCCATCAAAGCAGCTGGAATTTTCGTGAGAGGATTGTCTGCTTGTTGTATCCCTCTCCAGTTACCTAACCTCACTGTATTTACTGTTGAGGTGTAGTTAGGTAAGTAAAAAGGAAACAGGCCTGGGAACAGGAGTCCACGCTTTTTTTCTCTTTGGGAAAGGAACAGATAGTGAATAGTTTAATTTTTGCAAGTGACATACAGGTTATACTGCTTATTCTCTTGTGTCATATATTTGCTTGCTTGGACTTTTCTGGGTGTTTTTTTAAATTATTTTATAATATTTTTAAAATATAAAAACTGAAGCCGGGCATGGTAGCACATGCCTGTAACCCCAGCACTTGGGAGGCTGAGGCAGGAGGATGGTTAGGAGTATGAGGCCAGCCTGGGCTGCAAATTGGGCTCAAGGCCAGACTGAACTGCATAGAAAAAGAAACACACACACACACACACATATATATACTTATAGACTTTAACTTGGTATGGTAGTGCGCATCTGAAATGCTAGCACTCGGGCGGCTGTGGCAGTCGGATCACCATGACTTTGAAGCCAGCCTAGGCTATATGGTGAGTTCAAGGCCATAGACTAAATAGTGAGACCCTGTCTCAGACAAACAAACAAACAAACAAAACAATAGGTGTAGACCTTCCTTTGCTTTCTAGCTGCACAGAAACCAGACCACTGGCCAGATCCAGCGCATTGGCTCTAGGTCGCCAGCCCTGTGGAAGCACTGGTGGATTCCCTGCTTCGTTCCCAGCAGATCTCGATTTCTCTGCAGAGACTAAAAAAAGTAGAAGGCGGGCTCAAACTGGTAACCCCTCAGCTAGTAGCCGTTTTTCTCATTTTAAACATACGCTGACCAGTTCCCGGGATAATCAGATCTTTTTTTTTTTGGTATCGGGAATCGAACTCACGACCTCGCGCTTGCCAGGCAGGCGCTTTGCGCTCCTGAGCTAAATCCCCAGCCCATGATAATCAGATCTTGAAAACCTGGGCCATGCAATGAGATAAGCACATTAGTTTACGGAATTCTCGCACTGGGATACTCAGCACATTCTACATATATCCTGCATATTGTACACTAATGCTCGATCGTTTCACATATACTAACTAATTCCATGTTCCGAAAAATCCTCGTGCGAGTGTTTTTTTAACTCTGTTTTACTGATGAGCAGACCAAGCGAGGGAGCAGTTGCAGAGCCTGCCTGTGGTCTCGTAGCGGGACAGCCACAGAAGCAGGGCTCAAGCCCAGGCAGTCTGCTCTGGAGAAAGGGCTTCCTCCTTTCAGATATCCGGGGAAAGCGCATCATTAGAAGGGAGAGAAGCACACAGGCCTGGCCTCCTGACGAAAGCTACTTTCTGTCAAAGAGAATCTTCCTGTTATCTGCATAGATTGAGGGGGGCTTTTATTGTCTGAAAGGGTGCTGAGCACTGTGAGGTAAAGTTACTGCATGAAAGAAACCTAAACAGCAGAAGCAAAGGACTGTAGTCTGCGGTGACTCCGAACCCACAGCTTTTGCTAAGTAGCAGAATCGGTTGCACTACCGAGATAGAGAAACTGCATCATGAACTTGCTCGGTTCACATGGAATCCAAATAGGCAGAGTTTTGTATAAGGGGCGCTTATTAGCACCAGGCCAAGCTACCTGATGGATCCATCCTACAATGGAGATGGTCTTTGTTTTTTGAGACAGGGTCTCACTATGCAGTTCAGGCTGGTCTTGAACTCACTTTGTAGCCCAGGCTGGCCTCGAGCTCGCAATGATCCTCCTGCCTCAGCCTCCCGAGTGCTGAGATTACAGGCATGCGCCACCACGCCCAGCTTGGAGATAGACTTGTTAGTTTGAAATATTAAAAAAACAAAATCATTGACTAAAACCCCCTGCTTTCACCTCCGCACCACCAAGAATCTTTCTCCTGGAACTGGAAGTAACGCCAGCTGTTAAACTCCTGATTCTGAACACAAACAGAGAGGCCGTGACAACTTTTATATACACTAAGTAGGTTCTTTTTCTTTGCCTGATTAACATATCTCCTTTCTGAGTGACACATTCTATCTTTAGAGAGATAATATATTCATCCTGTTACTTTCCAGTTTTGCTGGCCTAAGAGTATTTCCATCTTTGTGACTTTGCATATCTGTACTCCAGCCTACTTTGTGGTGATTTAACTCTCTGAAGGACAGCAATTTTCTTTTCATGAATTTCAGGTTTTTGGATAAAGCATCCCTCTAGCTACCATGTGCTAATTACACAGCTCAGTACCAGAGGGCCATGTGTTTCTTTCATGCAGTTCAGAGATACACGACTGTATCAGGGATTTTCGTGTATAATGTCTAAATGAGCACCCCACATGTACATAAATTAAATTCGTAGTCCTATCTGTCTCAGGGGCTTAGTGACAGTGACAAATCCCCGAGCCCTGACAGGCACACGTCCTCGTTCCGTTTGGAGGTCTTAAGCACTTTGTAACCTTTGCTCTTTATTTGTCTCCGGCCGGTCCTGATGGAGCAGCGCTTTTCACGTTCTCCCTCCAAAGCCCGTGTGCTAGGATTGTACCTTTTGAAATAGAGACAATTCTATAATCTCTGAGTATGATTTCCTAATTTCCCAGGTCAGGAGAAGATTTCTTCTGTTGTCCTGCTGTGCTTTGTCACAGCAGGCCTGCCTTTTCATTTGGAACCCTCTTTGTCACTGCCATAGTAACAAATGGAAACATTGAGAACATTCTGTGACAGGCTCTGTCATTGTTCCCGGTGAAATCTCTTCCCCTGCGTCTTCCCAGTAAATGAAACTGAGAAGAAAAATCATAACAAATAACCTGAAAGGGGACCTAATCAATAGGTTCCCACTGGGCTGTCAATACCAGCCTGTGCTAATCTGCTGTGACTTAGGCGTATGTT